GTGGCGAGTAGGGGGTGGCGAGTATGGGGGTGGCGGGTGTGTGGTCTCCCCTGCTCCTCCTCCTTTGTCTCCCACTGCTGCAGCTGCCGCTGAGGGGGGTGGGTGTGTGGGAGTCGCTGGAGTCGTGCTAGGGGGTGGGGTGTGAGTGACCCTAGGGGTGCAGTAGGGGGTGTGTGCAAGGGGGGGTGAGACTGTTTGGGGAGCTGAATGAAGGATGCCGCTGTGTCGCTAGCAGCACCTGTAGTCCGGGGGCTTCGTCCGGTAGCTCAATCGTAGCCAGCTGTGCCAGCCGCCCGTGGGTCCGTTGCTCGTCTGCCGCTACTTTAGCCGCGGTGCCAGTTACCCCTGTAGTCCGGGGGCTTCGTCCGGTAGCCGCTGTGCCAGTCTGCCTCCTGTTGCCCGTGTGTCTGCAGCTTCATCCGTCGCCTCCTATCTCCTTTCCTCTCACTCTCGCCTCCTCCTCCTCACTTGCCCTCTGCGATAGCCTCTAGCTTTGCTCATAATTTTTAACTTTAAACTATTGCTTCTTGAACTTGTGCTCACAATGTGTGGTGACATTGTGATCCACCCTGAGCTTGTACTGCTTTGCTTGCTCTGCTGATTACACCCCACTTTGGCTATGGGGGTGTGTCAGAATGTTCTTATCTAGCCTGTAGTGGGGTGCTCTATAGCGAGTACAACCCTGTTAGGGTTTGCTATTTGTATCCCCATTCTTGCTAGTCAAGCCCTTTTTCTTTCTTCTAATTTTGTCAATTGGATCCAAAATAAGGGGTCTCTTACGTAGATGGCACATTTCCGCTACTACACGAGAATCGGTTTTAATGCATGCTTCTGAAAAGCTTCGAAGGAACAATCGAGAAGGGCTGCGAAATCGACTCAAAGCAACATATGCTCCTTGAGGAAAAACTTTGGATTCAAAATGTATGACTCCACTTTCAAAAGTAGCACCTTGGCTTCGGTGAAAGCTTATCGCATTACTTGGTCGTAATGGAAACTGCATTCGAGAATGTCAAAATCATATTTATTATAACTGCATGAAGTTCTAGCTGTAGTGTAGTTATTAAATTTGTAGGTGGTGCACCCCTTCATGTGTTCCTTTGCTATATGTATCTCGAATCCTATAGTGAAACCCCTTTTTTTTTCTCCAATTTCTCCTCTCCAACTCACTCGACACTCACCCTAGGTGAAAACCCGCTCGATACCTAGTTAAGGGCCTAGGCTACTAAGCCTAGGCCCCTCACCTTTCAACTTAATCTACTTTAAGTTCGACAGAGAAATCGTGTCATAGCGAGAATTTACCGAGAATGTCTTCTCTTTTCGTTGAATAGGCGTCCAAGATGGTTTTACCCCCAGAATCTTAGAAAACAACGGTCGAGATTTTCTACGCATATTACTGCCAACAGCTTCATCATCAAATTGGACCCATATCACTTCCACCGTATTGTGTGCATTCAATGAAAAATGAACTACAATGCCAGGTGTGCCATTAGCAAGCCCGTCTGACATATCCACATTACAAACCATGTGCACACACGAGCTGATAAAAAGCTCAAGAACCGAACATAACCCATGTGATGAAGTTGTCGCAAACCCATCTGGGGTAATCGGTTTATCTTTCCTGGATTGTGTCAGAATGTTATCTTATGCTCTAGCCTGTAGTGGGGTGCTTTATAGCGAGTACAACCCTTTTAGGGTTTCCTATTTTTATCCCCATTCTTGCTAGTGCAGCCCCCTCTTCTTTCTTCTAAAATCTCACATGGTATCAGAGCAGGTCGATCCCCTTGGATCGATCCTGTGGGTGGGCTTACCACCTCGTTGCTTCCGTTGCAACTACTACTTCTACTCGCTGTGCCGCACGCCCCGTGGCGTGCGGCTGTTTTTCTTCCCGCCGTGCGCCCCGAGGCACGCGGCGGTTTTCTGCCCGCCGTGCGCCCCGAGGCGCGCGGCGGTTTTCTGCCCGCTGTGCGCCCCGAGGCGCGCGGCGGGCTTCTGCCCCGTCGTTCGGCGCGTCGTCCTCTGGAGCGCCGCGACGGGCGACGGGGATCCGCGCGTCGCCCCCCGTCGCCCGTCGTGGCCTGCGCGCGGCCTGTACAGGCAGCGCGCGGCCCGTACGGGCTGCGCCAGGCCCGCGCGCGGCCCCTACGGGCTGCGCCAGACCCGCGCGCGACCCGTATGGGCGGCGCCAACCCCGTGCGCGGCCCGTACGGACGGCGCCAGGCCCGCGCGCGACTTGGGCCGCCTGCGCGCGGCTCGGGCGTCTGTACCAGGCCCGTGGTGGGCCCGTTCCTCGCTGCCCCTGCCCTCCCCGCTGTCCCCCAGTGCTTCTACTGGAGCCCCACCCCTCCTACTCCCCATTCTCCTGAATTAGGGTTTGGGGGTGAGGGGTATGGGGGTGACCTCACTGTGTGCCGTTCCCTGCTCCTCCTCCTCCTCCGTCTCCCTGTGCTGCAGCTGTCGCTGAGGGGGGGTGGACGTGTTGGAGCCGGTGGAGTGGTACTAAGGGGGGGTGAAGGGGGAGTGGAGCTAGCGGTGTAGCAGCGGGTGTGTGCCAGGGGGGAGTGGGATAGTTTGGGGAAGCTGAATGGAGGTTGCCGTCGTGTCACCAGCAGCACCTGTATTCCGGGGAGTTGCTCCAGTAGCCCAGTCGTAGCCAGCTGTGCCAGCCGCCCGTGGGTCCGTTGCTCGTCTGCCGCTACTTTAGCCGCGGGGCCAGTTACTCCAGTATTCCGGAGCGTTGTTCCAGTATCCGCTGTGCCAGTGTGCCTCCTGTTGCCCGTGTGTCTGCAGCTTCATCCGTCGCCTCCTATCTCCTCTCCTCTCACTCTCTCTCCTCCTCCTCACTTGCACGTTGTGACTACCACTAGCTTTGCTCATAATTGTGAACTTTAAACTATTGCTTCTTGCACTTGTGCTCAGAATGTGTGGTGACATTGTGATCCACCCTGAGCTTGTACTGCTTTGCTTGCTCTGCTGATTACACCCCACTTTGGCTATGGGGGTGTGTCAGAACGTTATCTTATGCTCTAGCCTGTAGTGGGGTGCTCTATAGCGAGTACAACCCTTTTAGGGTTTCCTATTTGTATCCCCATTCTTGCTAGTGCAGCCCCCTCTTCTTTCTTCTAAAATCTCACAGATTGGTCATTCCCGAACAACGCACAATCCAACGCTGGGACTGCGTATTTCTCTTCCAACGAAGATGAGAAAATAGCGTGGTTAAACGAGTCGATGGCTTTATTAGTGCAACATAAGTGTTGCAAGCTTGTCTCTACTGAAGGAATATCAACTTGCCGGTCATGTAACAACAGTATGTCCATAGGAGTTTGGGCCCCTTCGCGCAAACGGTTTAACAATTCGGCAAATCTTCCCTCTTCACGTTGCCGCATGATCGTCGTAAGTTCTACAAGTTGTACACGTCTCCAAATATTCAAATCGCATATTGAAGATTGATTTGTATGATCGTCGAAACAATGTATATCACGCACTGGAGGTAGTTGGAAAAAATCTCCAACAAAGACCATGTGCAAACCCCCGAAAGGAACGTTCGCATTATTTGTAAGCTCACGAAGCCTAAAATCTATCCATTCGAATGTGTTTTTCCCAACCATTGTTATTTCGTCGACAATAACAACTTTTACGTCTCCAAGTCTTGATCTTAAAGTATTTAACCTGTCCGAAGTTAATTTCTTTATACGACGATTCTGCACGACTGGAATCATTAAAGCATTATGAATTGTATAACCCTTAATCTGAAAGGCTGCAACTCCTGAGGGAGCTATTTTTAACACTTTGATCGTATTGAAATTTGTATGGATCTGCGCATGAAATATTCGAATTAGTCGATCGTGAACCGTTCTAATCAAAACGGACTTCCCGACGCCAGCACCCCCGCTAACAAATATGGACAAAGGTCCATATTGAAATGAACGACGCACTCCACGTACGATGTGATCGGCAACTGCACGTTGCTCTGCATTCAACATGCGTTCCATCGATAGATAATCTCTTTCGTTTGCAGCCACCGAATGAAAAATATCGGTAGATCGGACAAATTTGTCCAACCCAAGTTCGACGCCGATATCAACGTCTTCATTTGGTAACGTTTCGTTATCGGGATCGTCGACGTCGTCATCCACACCAATAGCGTTTTCCAGTGCACGTATCCACGTATCTCCATTCATCGAATATTCATTCCTCTTGGTCAAAATGATATCATTGTTTGCCGCATAGATTCGGACAACGTCATGGCTACCCCTAGTGTCCTCGCTTTTGACGCTGAGGGTCGAGCCATTGACTTTGACGTCTGGGTAGATGACCTGCAGCTGTTTTTACAGTGTGATAGGGCAGACGGTCTCTCACTCTTTGACCTCACCTCTGGCGCCTCTCTTGCCCCTGCTGCTGATGCCGACGCCACTGTCCGCTCACAGTGGGCCACGCGCAACGCTGCTGCACGTCTTGCTGTGCGTCGCCACCTGCCTACCTCCGAGCGCGCGCACTTTAGTTAGTACAAGAGTGCCCAGACCTTGTACGACGCTGTAGTTGCGCGCTACTCCTCCCCTGCCACTGCTGCACTGAGCCGTCTCATGCTACCGTACCTCTTCCCTGACCTTACTGCCTTTCCCACAGTCGCTGACCTCATTACGCACCTCCACACTAGTGACACTCGCTACCGCGCTGCGCTTCCCGTTGACTTCTGCGCCAAGAACCCCCCCCCCCATGTACATCACTCTCTACTACATAGTCACTCGCCTCCCTGACTCCCTTCGCGTAGTCAGGGACCACTTCCTCTCAGTCTGTCCAACCACTCTCACTGTTGACCTCCTCGAGAAGTCCCTCCTAGCGGCCGAGAAGAGCATAGTCGCTCTAGGGGCCTCTCGTGGTGACCCGCGCACCCCCATCTTTGAGGGGTGTTCTCCCTCCCCCCTACTACCCTCTGTTGCCTCTGCTGCTGCGGCCGACCTCCTTCTCTTGAGTCGGTCGGTGCGGCGTCTGCCCCTAGCGAGAGACGCCGCTCTGGCAAGGGCAAGGGGGGCAGGGGCACTGGAGGGGCGAGCGGGGGCGGTGGAGGTGGAGGTGGAGGCGGCGGGGGGAGTGGGGGTGGCGGTGGGAGTGGTGGTGGGGGTGGAGTTGTCGGTGACGGCAGTGGAGGTGGAGGCGGCGGCGGCGGCGGTGGCGGTGGGAGCGGAGGTGGCGGAGGTGGCGGCGGTGGAGGAGGCGGCGGAGGCGGCGGTAGTAGCGGAGGCGGCGGAGGCGGCGGAGGCGGCGGGGGTGGCGGTGGAGCTGGTCGCGGGTCTACGCAGAGTAGTGGCTCCGGTGGTGGTCCGCGCCAGCAGCAGCAGCGCGGTCGTGAGACCCTGTCCCCTCAGCAGCTCCGTGAGTGGTACACTGCACGCCAGCGGGGTGGGGGTTTTGGTCCGTGCACCTACGTCCTGCGCACCGGCGACCATGCGGGTGAGCAGTGTGGGGGTGCGCACCCCACCCAGCGCTGCTTTGGTCGCCTGACGGACGCGTGGCGTCACCAGTTCCCGGAGGCCACAGACATCCCTCGCTGGGGCGAGCTGTCTCGGGCGGGTGTTGCCATCTATGATCTTGATTTTCATGCTATTCTTTCTGCCATGTATGCTGTGTCTATTAGTGATGAGGGTGACTGTTACCGGTGTTTCCCGCCCGATCCGGGCATTGAGACTGCTGCTCTAGGTACTGGTGAGGCGGCTGCCCTAGGTGCTTGCGACGCTGCTGCTCTAGGTGCTAGTGCGTCTACGTCCTCAGGTACTGGTGAGTCTGCGCTCTCAGGTACTACGTCGGCTTCGGCCTCCCTCACTTTCACCCTTGACTCTGGGGCTTCTCGCTCCTTCTTTCGGGACCGCACCACACTCACGCCGCTTAGTCGGCCCGTTGCGGTGTCTCTGGCTGACCCCTCTGGGGGTCCTGTCCTGTCTCACTTCTCCACGGTCCTCCCGTGTCCGGCGGCTCCCTCTGGCACCTTGTCTGGTCTCTACCTCCCCTCGTTCTCTACGAACCTGGTGAGTGGTGCTGACCTACAGGATGGGGGAGTACACCAGTTCACTCCTGCGCGTCAGCGGGTGACCCACTGCACAGAGGCTAGCAAAGGCCGACACCTGGCTACGTTTACACGTCAGCTGGGGTCGAGCCTGTACACATTGACCACTGCGTCTCCTCCAGTTGTTGAGTCTGGTAGGGTCACTGCGTCGGGTCAGGTGTTTGCTGCAGCGTCCAGGTCTGGTCATGAGTCTGCCCCCTGTTCGTGTCGTCTCCTGTCTCACGAGACTCTCCTCTGGCACCACCGCCTTGGTCCCCCCTCTCTTCTTCGGCTCAGAGGCATGGCCTCCCGTCTTCTTGTTTCTGGTCTCCCTCGGTCCCTCCCTCCCCTTCCTCAGGGCCCTGGCCCTACCTGTGTCCCCTGTGTCGAGGGGCGCCAGCGGGCTGCCCCTCACTCCTCCCAGTTTCCTCCGACAGAGACCCCGTTGCAGACGCTTCACATGGACGTGTGGGGCCCAGCCCGCGTCCGTGGACAGGGTCACGAGCGCTTCTTCCTGCTCGTTGTTGACGACTACTCGTGTTACACCACAGTCTTCCCCTTGCGCAGCAAGGGTGATGTCACTGAGGTGCTGATCGACTGGATCCGCGCAGCTCGTCTCCAGCTCAGGTAGAGCTTTTGCTCGGACTTTCGAGTTCTGCGTCTGCACTCGGACAGAGGCGGAGAGTTTTCTTCTGGCCTTCTGAGAGCCTACTGTCGCGCACGAGGAATCCGTCAGACCTTCACGCTTCCGGACTCCCCGCAGCAAAATGGGATTGCTGAGCGCCGCATTGGCATGGTCATGGACGTCGCTCGTACGTCTATGATGCATGCGGCTGCTCCCCATTCTCTGTGGCCGTTTGCGGTGAGGTACGCGGCGCATCAGCTCAACCTACACCCCAGGGTCTCCAGGCCGGAGACCTCCCCAGCCTTGCTGTGGACGGGGAAGGTTGGCGATGCGTCGGCGTTCCGGGTCTGGGGATCTCGGGCGTTTGTCCGCGACTTGTCCGCGGACAAGCTGTCCCCTCGTGCTGCTCCTTGCGTCTTCCTGGGTTTCCCCCCTGACGCGCCTGGGTGGCAGTTCTACCACCCCACCTCTCGCCGTGTTCTGTCCTCCCAGGACGTCACGTTTGACGAGTCGGTCCCCTACTACCGCCTCTTCCCCTACCGCACTCCGTCCCTCCCCCCGCCGCCGCTCTTCCTTGTACCAGGTCCCCCTCCGGTAGACCCCCTCCCCCCTCAGGGTCCGTCCCCTTCAGGTGTGTCCCAGGTAGACGCAGTCGAGCCTGTCGAGGTCACTGGTGACTCTGGTGCTGCTGAGGGTGCTGAGCCTGGGGGTGCTGCGACTGGGGGTGCTGAGCCTGGGGATGCTGAGCCTGGGGGTGCTGCGACTGGGGGTGCTGAGCCTGGGGGTGCTGAGCCTGGGGGTGCTGAGCCTTGGGGTGCTGAGCCTGGGGGTGCTGAGTCTGAGGGTGCTGCGCCTGGGGGTGCTGAGCCTGGGGGTGCTGAGCCTGGGGGTGCTGAGCCGGGGGGTGCTGAGCTTGGAGGTGCTCCGCCAGGGGGTTCTCCGGGTGCTTCGTCTCTGCGGGAGCCACTCTCTCCACAGGAGCTGCGCGAGTGGTTTGCCCGGCGCTGGAGGAGTGCTGCTGGTACTGGAGGTTCTTCGGCTGCTGAGGGTGCTGCTGTCGCGGGTCCCGGAGGTGCTCATACTGGGAGTACTGGAGCTGCTGGGCCTGCGGGTTCGACTAGAGCTGGTGCTGCTGAGGGTGTTGGAGCTGAGACTACTACTGGCGGTCCTGCTGCGGGTACTCTTAGTGCTGCTGGCGGTTCTGGCGCTACTGGAGGTGCAGCTGGAGCGGGGGCTCCTGCTGGGGGTACTAGTGCTGTACCTGCTGTGTCTGGCGTCGCCGCGCCGCCTCGACCGTACTTCGTTCCACTCCTGCAGCAGGTTCTTGGTCTTCCGCCTTCTACTGGTCCTCCTCCTTCTTTAGAGTGTCCATAGCCAGTCCCGTCCCAGTTACAGTTGCAGCCTACCTCTCCTTTGCCTGCTCCTTCTCCCTACACTAGTCCTACTGGAGGTCTTACTAAGCGTCATGAGCCTGCGTCTCGCCCTTCGTCGCCTGTCCGTGCTGCTCGTGCTAGTGGTCGTGGTTCGTGTCAGCGTCCTCCTCCTGTCCTTGGCACGCACAGGATGTCTCTGCGTCCGTCCACTGCTCCTCTGCGTGCCCCTTTGCCTTGTCCTCCTGGGTCCTCTCTTCCTGCTTTTGCCGGCCCGGAGTCGGACTCTCTTCGTTCTGCCAGTCCTACTGTCACGCGTCTCCTGGCTACTGTCATCACTGACCCTTCTTTCGAGTCCACTGCTGCGTCTGCCCTAGTTGCTGAGCTCGTCGACTTTGCTGCTCGCTGTCGCCTAGACTACGTTGCTAGTCTTGTCGCTGAGTCTGAGTCTGTCATTCCTCCGTCCGTCGGGGGTGAGTGTGCCCTTGGCACGGACGTCCTTGAGGACAGGCAGGAGGAGTTCCAGTTCTTGGCCGCTGCTTCACCTCATCTCGTGTCCGTACTGCTTACCCTTGAGGGAGATCCGGATGCACTTGACATCCCGACTCCTCGCTCTTACGCGGAGGCGATAGAGGGTCCCTACTCCTCTCAGTGGCAGGCAGCTATGGATGCAGAGATTGCTTCCTGGAAGTCCACAGGCACCTACGTTGACGCTGTTCCCCCTCCTGGGGCGAACATCGTCAGTGACATGTGGATCTTCAGGGTGAAGCAGCCGCCGGGTTCTCCGCCTATCTTCAAGGCGCGTTACGTGGCTCGTGGCTTCAGTCAGCGGCAGGGAGTTGACTACTTTCAGACCTTCTCTCCCACCCCAAAGATGACCACTCTTTGGGTACTGCTGCACGTTGCTGCTCACCGTGACTACGAGCTGCACTCTCTTGACTTCAGCACAGCTTTCTTGCAGGGCAGCCTGCACGAGGAGATCTGGCTGCGCCGCCCACCTGGCTTCACTGGGTCTTTCCCTCCTGGTACTCAGTGGAGTCTCCGGCGTCCAGTCTACGGTCTCGGCCAGGCGCCCCGTAAGTGGCACGACACACTGAGGACTACGCTTGCGGCTCTTGGGTTTGCTCCTTCTACTGCCGACCCGTCGCTGTTTCTGCGCACCGACACCTCTCTGCCGCCGTTCTACATCCTCGTGTACGTCGACGACTTGGTCTTTGCCACAGCTGACACTGCTGGACTCGCCTACGTGAAGTCCGAGCTGCAGAAGAGACACACGTGCACAGACCTGGGTGAACTGCGCAGCTACCTTGGCTTGCAGATCACCCGGGACAGAGCACAGCGCACCATTACTCTGACTCAGTCACACATGGTGCAGCAGGTCCTTCAGCGCTTCGGCTTCACGTACTCCTCGCCTCAGGCCACTCCTCTGCCTACTCGCCACTCGCTCTCAGCTCTGCCTTCGGATGAGTCCGTAGAGTCGAGTGGCCCGTATCCAGAGCTTATTGGCTGCCTCATGTACCTGATGACCTGCACACAACCTGACCTTGCATACCCTCTTAGCATTCTCGCACGCTATGTTGCTCCTGGTAGACACCGACCAGAGCACATGGCTGCAGCGAAGAGGGTGTTGCGCTACTTGTGCAGTACGTCGGGCATGGGGCTAGTGCTTGGAGGGCGGAGTCCAGTGGTCCTCACTGGGCACGCGGACGCTTCTTGGGCTGACGACCAGGCTACGCAGCGGTCGTCGCAGGGCTACACCTTCAGCCTTGGTTTCGGCTCTGTTTCGTGGCGGGCTACTCGCTCGTCTTCTGTTCTCGGCTCCAGTTGTGAGGCTGAGATCTACGCCGGGGCCATGGCTGCACAGGAGCTTCGCTGGCTCACCTACCTGCTGACCGACCTTGGAGAGCCACCTCGTTCTCCTCCAGTCTTGTACGTAGACAACAAGGCCATGCTGGCCTTGTGTCGAGAGCAGAGACTGGAGCACAGAACAAAGCACATTGCTCTTCGCTACTTTCTTGCTCGTGAGCTACAGCAGCATGGTCAGTTGCGGCTTGCGTATGTGGCCTCTGAGGCCAACAGTGCTGATGTCTTCACCAAGGCACTTGCGCCTTGTGATCATCAGCGCTTCTGCACGCAGCTGGGTCTTGTGCCTGTCTTGCCTCACTTGCTTACCTCTTGACCTTGCTTGTACTGTTGCATATATATATATATACACCGGCTATTGCTTGTCTAGTCCTTTATATACATGTACTCTTGCATGTGAACTGGCCTTGTGGCCTTGAACTTGTGCTCGGAATGTGTGGTGGCTTTGTGATCCACCTCGAGCTTGCTTTGCTTTGCTTTGCTTGACTGGTCTTGTGACCCCTTGTTCTCCCCCACTTTTCCTATGGGGGTGTGTCAGAACATATAGCTTGTGCTTATTGTGTAGGCTATAGTGGGGTAGCCTATAAGGGGTACAACCCAATTAGGGTTAGTACTTGTACTCATTTCATTCATAGTTCATCCCATTCTCGTTTCTTCTCATTTACCATTAATCGTACGGTAAAACGAGATCCGTCTTCGATGATGCCTACAAGACCTTCACTGTTTGGGGCAATGTTTGGGATTGAAAA